CTGTAGAGCGGAGTCAATATTGATCGAGACTCATATATTTTTAGAAAATTTTAAGAAAGTAAAGGCAGGATCTATTATATTCTCGAAATATCACGTGCCATTCAAAATGATCTTTTCTTCGTCGTGTTTTCATCATCACAAAATATTCAATTTTTTTCGAAATCCATGAATATATATATATATATATATATATGGATTCTTAAAAAATTGTGATTATTTGATAGCGATTTTACACACACATCTTCAAAGCTCTATAAAGCTAGCATCAAATTGATAAAATCAAATCAGACCGGAATTTTTAGTATTCATTTTGTACTAAATTGTACCATTAACCCTTACCCTATTAACATGGATCATTAGTGAGCGATTCCTGTTCATTTCTTTGAGTCTTTCGATAATTATAAATTATATTACATTTTATTATTTTCCAAAACGAAGTGCCAGTATTTATTCTAAAAAGTTGAAAGTATATTGGTGAATTTTTAGAGATTTTTTGAATCATTCAACAGATGAAAAAAACGGATGGATTCTACTGCTCATATTTGTATGAATGAGGTATCAAATTGTAGTTAGTAGGGTAAAAGTTAATGATAATTTTATACCGTGTGCCATTTCGAAAAAAAATTGTGGTGCTGCTAATTTAATATTAAGCTGACCAATTCAAAATAAAAGAAAAAAAATAATATCAGAAATCAATAAGATTAAATTTGTTTTTTTTTTTATGATCCTGCTAGCTTAAATATTAAACTAGCAGCGTCACACTCTCTGGAAATGCACATAATATAGAATTGTTTTTGGCAGTACAAAATAGTACAAATTCTATTGATGTCTGATATTATTTTTCTTTTTTTCTTTTATTTTAAATTGATTGCCAGCTTAATATTAAGTTAGCACCACCACAATTTTTTTCGAAATGGCACACGGTATGGTGGCACAAAATTATTATGAATAGTAAAATTGAGTGCAAAATGAATACTAAAAATTCCAATAAGTCCGATTTGATTCTGCTAATTTAGTCCTGCTAACTTTATAGAACTCTTTTTCAATGAATTTATAAAATATATAAGACAGTTAGTTTCATCTCAAAAGCAGCCAGACAAATGTATAGGGTGTCCTTAAATTACGGTACCATCCATCCTGAGTAGGTAGAGCGGATTAAACTGATTGTGAGTCGAAAAGTTTTTTATAATTTTGCAATATTCACAATAATTAATGAGATATTAATTAAAAATCGCTAAATATTGGTCTTGGTATCTTCAATAATTTTTTATTCAAATATATCAATCAACTTTACAGAAAAACAGTAAGAGATAAAAATTATTTAATTTCTTCTCATAAAATTCTGAGCAATTTTTCAGAATTTTTTCAGAATTTTTTCAGAACATCGTATTTTCTTATGTTGGTAAAAATAAGAAAATGCAATACTAAAAAGTTCTGAAAAAAATTCTGAAAAATTCTGAAAAAAATATTTAAGAGTTCTATGAGAAGAAAATAAATGATTTTTCTTCTAACCATTACGAAAATTGCAAAATAGTAGAGGATTTTTCGATTCAGTTTAATCCGCTCTAGCTGCTCAGGAAGAGTGATGCCATATTTAAGGCTATCCTATATAATATAACGATAATATAATAAAAATAAATGATAATAGTATGGTACTATTATAATATAATGATATAATTGGATATGTCTCACATTGTCAGTTTCCTCATACTTTTTAACAGGGGTAGTCAAGGAATTGAGCCCAGGAAAACTGAGAATTTTGAGATTAAATGCGAATAATTTCAAACTGATATAAATATTACATTAGTATTAAAAAGAAAGTTGAATATCAAGGTTATATTCATATTAAATAAAACATAATAAAAATAACAAGTTTAAAATATAATATATATCAGAGTATTGTAGTTTGAATGATTTAGAACCGATTTCATCAACGCCAATTACTGGATCGGTCGATTAAATTTGAGAAATGCTAACTGCTAAATTAAAAATTTATCATTTCTAATGTAATTTCTTAATAACAAATCTGTTACAAAATATATATTTGTAAAAATGTATTCATATTTAAAAATCTAATTTATTATCCATGCTACATACATTTTTTCTTTACTGCGTGCGTGCGTGCGTGCGTGCGTGTGTGTGTGTGTGTGTGTGTGTGTGTGAACAGGTAGAAATAAAATAAATTTTGAAGTCTTGCTATTGACATTCTAACGACAAAGTTAATCAGCCGGTCAAATAATTGACATTAAATCAGCCTTTATAGCACTTTTTCTGCAGAATGTGCAGAATATGCAGTGTTACATTAAACATCAATCACAAAATATGCACCAACCTTATTCCGTATTTATTAAATATGTAAAAGTTGTTTCTTTACTAAAATTATAAATGTCGTTTTATAGAAACAATCTGTAACCAGGGAAATAAAACTTCAAATCGGTGATAAAGTTTGAGGATATTTGTTGTAAATAAAATTTAATCGAATAAGAGACTTGATTAGATGATGTGAGCGTGTGCGAATACGTGTGCGAGCAACTTTAACTACGAGATAGATTGCGAAATTAAATGTAAATGTAATTTAACCAAATAAAATTTTTAAAATGTGATAAGTATAACTATTGGGTTGTCCGGAAAGTTCGTGCCGATTAACTTATATAATTTAATAAATGTATATTAAAATTTAAATTTTCTGCGTTTCAATTTTCCTTCAACATCGGCACGAACTTTCCGGACAACCCAATAATATAAAATATGAAGCGAAACAGTTAGTAAATAATTTTAAATTTATCATAAACATAGATTGCAATATAACTTTCATAATTGAGTGACTTTCATAATTGAGTGACAGGGGACTGAGAGATTTTTATTATAAAAGTTAATTTTTAGACATAAATAAATTAAATTATCGGATTTTCATTGATTGTCTATATAAATATAGTTATAATCTTTCTCTATGATAAAAAATCGAATACATTTTGACGTATTTAAATGTATTTAATTCTACAACAGTACACTTATTTTCGGCATTTTAAAGTGGCTGACATGAGTGTCATTTGTGTCCGATTTTAAGATTCTTAAACTTCTCGAAAAATTCCACATTGTCTTCTAAGATCTCTACTAAATTATTCCATTAGATAGACATTAGAAAAAAATTTGGAAGTTATAAAAATTACGCAAGTATAGAAGAAATTAGAACTGTTAAAAATGGCAGACACAAATGTGTGCTATTGGAGAGTTAAAAAGTGTGATACGCAAAAATTTCAATTTTTTAAGAATCACCTATATATATATATATGTAACAATATAATAATAATAACATATTACTTATATAAAAATAATTATTAGTTAAGAACTATTTTTATTATAAATGTGCAATAAAAATTATAAAACGCGACAAAAAATTATACATTTCTACAATTATGAAGAATAATCATATAAGTAGATAATAATGTAATTTCTTTGGTGAAATATATAATATGTATCTATATTGAGGACACATTCTTACACAGCGTACGGAAGAGAACAAGTTCAATTATTTATGAGATAATAAAAGAATAATGATATTTATGATATGTGTGTATTGATTAAGATAATATCAAGAAATATATAATAAACTCGCATTGACATAATAAACATAGTTATATAATTTGCCTTTTCATGCATTTAGATTAATTTCCATAAAACTTTCCATAAAACTCGCAAAAAATATTTTCGCATGTTTTCGTGAATTTAAACAAATAGATAAATAAAAATTTATAATTAATTAATTCGAATAAGTACACAGAGAGACAAAAAGCATAAAAAAAAAAGCATACAAAAAAAAAAGAAATATCCAACATGTTCTTGCATAGCGTGTAAAAGAGAAAATAGAAGTTAAATATTCTTAATATGACATAGTTGTAATGAAATGGTTAATGTATCGATATAATGACTAAGATAATGTTAAAAACTATGTGATAAAAAACTGGCATTGATGTAGTCATATAATTTGTTTTTTTATATCATATAATTTAAAATAATTACATAATTTGTCTTTTCTATTGAGACACTAGAATCTTACATTTCCATAAAATTTTTCACAAAAAATATGTTTTCAAATTAAACAAAAAAGTTTAATTAATTCGAATAAGCGATAATATGCAAACAGACAAAAAACATAACACAGAAAAACGCAGAAACTCTTTAAAATATTCATTTATATGCTAATTAG